ACATCTCGCCCAAGGGTCCAAGGATCACATGAATCCCTGGTTGACAGTGGATGATTTGACCGTTCAACGTTCATAGAAACTGGAAAGAAACTGGAATTGGTTGACAGTAACTGGGGGAATTCACCAATTCCTGGGTTATCCCAACTGGGAAACCTCGACCCAGCCGCGCAGGCCCAAGGATCATATCTTGGATCTCTGTTGCGCGCCAGGTGTGGCGACAAGTTGTTTTTGGGGAAGTGTTGTTTGAGGCCGTTGAAATTTCAGTCACCGTTTCCCTATTGATTTCTAGTTGGAACTGGGGAAACGACGATTTTCTGCTTGGAACTGGGGGTGTAGGTGGGTCTTAACCCACTGGGGGTCATCCCAGTAGTGTGTTTGCCACATCGCTACTTCCCCAATTTTTGATGGTTGGGAAGTAGTGAACATTTTCTCGATCTATGTAAGTCTCCCTGGATTCCGTCACATCCCATTACTTTCCCTCCAGATTCCGTCATCTCCAATTTTTCCCATTATATTCCCATTTTATCTCCATCACATCCCCGCAAACATCCATAAGCAAATGGGAAATACTATTTGTTTGGGGGCAAACCATTGCAGATGATTATATCTAATTTCCATAAATCATTAACATAGACCCGGGCAAGCCGGCGGCGGAAGTTTCCCAAACATAAATGACCTATAGTTCAAAGACAACCTGTCCCGACCGTGTCCTTCCCTCGACACTCCACACCTCACACTGCACACTGCACTCTTCGCACTCCAAACTTCAAACTTCACACTCCACACTTCTCACTGCTTCGCACTTCACACTCCACACTTCACAGTCCACACTTCACACTTCTCACTTCACACTTCTCACTTCTCACTGCTTCCTTCACACTCCAAACTTCACACTTCTCACTTCGCACTTCACACTCCACACTTCACAGTCCACACTTCACACTTCTCACTTCTCACTGCTTCCTTCCCACTCCAAACTTCACACTCCAAAACTCACACTTCTCACTTCGCACTTCGCACTCCACACTTCACTCACACTTCACACTTCACAGTCCACACTTCACACTTCTCACTGCTTCCTTCACACTCCAACCCTCACACTTCACACTTCACACTTCACACTGCGCTCTTCGCACTCCACACTTCACAGTCCACACTTCACACTTCTCACTTCACACTTCTCACTTCTCACTGCTTCCTTCACACTCCAAACTTCACACTTCTCACTTCACACTCCACACTTCACTCACACTTCACACTTCACAGTCCACACTTCACACTTCTCACTGCTTCCTTCACACTCCAAACCTCACACTTCACACTTCACACTGCGCTCTTCGCACTCCACACTGCACAGTCCACACATCACACTTCTCACTTCACACTTCTCACTTCTCACTGCTTCCTTCACACTCCAAACTTCACACTTCTCACTTCGCACTTCACACTCCACACTTCACACTTCACAGTCCACACTTCACACTTCTCACTTCTCACTGCTTCCTTCACACTCCAAACTTCACACTTCACACTCACACTTCTCACTTCGCACTTCACACTCCACACTTCACAGTCCACACTTCACACTTCTCACTTCTCACTGCTTCCTTCCCACTCCAAACTTCACACTCCAAACCTCACACTTCACACTTCACACTTCACAATGCGCTCTTCGCACTCCAAACTGAAACTTCACACTCCACACTTCACACTCCACACTTCACACTTCTCACTTCTCACTGCTTCCTTCACACTCCAAACCTCACACTTCACACTTCACTCTGCGCTCTTCGCACTCCAAACTGAAACTTCACACTCCACACTTCACACTTCTCACTTCCCACTGCTTCCTTCACACTTCACACTGCACTCTTCACGCCCGACACTTCACACTGCTCTAAACGTACGTCCAACAAAAAAACACTAGTGCCAAAATGGAGAAAATCTGCTAACAAACCCATTTCGCAGCCTTCATGCAGCCACTCCAATACGATTTACGAGATCCAGCTGCAAAAGACAATAGTAAGACGAATGCAGCCACAGCACGCAGCAACCTTGACGCAGCCATTACAATGCGATCTGCAGAGGCTGAGTTGCAAAACACAATATATAAGTACGCGCAACGGCGTCGGAAATTGTAGCTCCAAAATCGGATCTCGACGCCAGAGCGAAAAAAAGACGATTTTGAAGGACTTTTTAAAAGGATTTCTAGAAGGAAAATCACTAGCGCCAAAATGGAAAAAATTTGCTAACAAATCCATGTCGCAGCCTTCATGCAGCGACTCCAATACGATTTACGAGATCCAGCTGCAAAAGACAATAGTATTACGAATGCAGCCACAGCACGCAGCAACCTTGACGCAGCCATTACAATGCGATCTGCAGAGCTTGAGTTCCAAAACACAATAGA